TTAAGAATGGCTGGACTGGACTGCATTACGCGACAAAGGCAGGTCACCTAAATGTTGTCAAGTTGTTCGTTAAAAGTTCAGCCGATGAGCTGGCGGAAACTAAAGAGGGAAAGGTATGTACTATTTCAGTGATAACGTTTTCTTCTAATGATCCCTTGAATAAAAATTCTCAGGTACCACTATGCTTTGCCGCCTCAAACAATCACATCGAATGCTTACGGTTTCTTCTCAAGCACAAACATGACACACATCAGTTAATGGAAGATCGCCGATTTGTTTTTGACTTGATGGTTCGTTGCCGTTGTATGTGGATTTTTTTTCAGTTGTAAATTATAATCTAGGTATGCGGCAAAGGTACCGACAATGAACCGTTGCAAGAATTTATCCTACAGAGTCCTGCGCCCATTGATACAGCTGTCAAGTTATCATCTCTTTATAGGTAAGGGCTCAAAGTTGGATTTCTTTTTTGCTCTATATCTGATGATTTGTAGGGATATGTCGGAGAAAGAGAAGGAGCGTGCAAAAGATCTTTGCAATGTAGCTGTTTTCTCGGAAAATATGGCAGTAGAGCTTTTGGGTATTTCTGCCAGCGAGTACAATGCTGCTATCCTCCTCAAGGCGAAAGATAATCGTGGACGTCCGCTTCTGGATGTGCTGATCGAAAACGAACAGGTTAGTCTCGTACTGCTGCACTTTGTCATTTCGTACTTTATATAACAACCACGATTCAAATGGGTTCTTGTAATCTGAGTTGTAAAGCAGAAAAATCTAGAGACAGCGTTAAGGCAAATTTTCAGCTTCTAATTTCCCCTTTTCTGACCGATTATAAGCTAAGCACTCTTGATTCTGACTGACCGTGAATTTGATTTCCCTCCTTATGCCTTTCTACTTTAGAAGGAAGTGGTCTCCTATGCATCTGTACAGCGATATCTCACGGAAATCTGGACAGCCAGCGTCGACTGGTCTTTCGGTGGGTTTCTCTGATTAGTTGTTATCTGCTGCCCGCAAAATATCTCACCGAGTCGAACGCAGAATCTGGGATAAAAAATAAGGAGAGGGGGAGGGAGGAACGTCATGCCTCTATCCCTTTCCCTCCCAGAATGGATCACAAGCTTCCAATTTGTAAGGTAAAAAGAAATAAAATGTTAAGGTCTTGGTTTTACTTAAATCATTTACCATTCATGCCAATTTTTAGAAAATCTGATTTGAAAAAGCAGCTTTTTACGATTTT